TGAAACTTTGGTCGTGAAATTACGTGTTATTTGGCTCTGTTCTGGTGGTAGCCCTGCACCTCATGTTCGAGGATACAAAGTGGACTTCTAGGTTAATCTAGCAATTGAAATATCTTATAAACAAAAATTAACACCATGTCTACTTCATCGAATGACTAAGTACGGTCATGGACACACCAAAATTACAAAAAACACAATCTTTCCTTTATTAATCTTGTAATTCCTCCTTTCAACTCGAAACGACCGGCAATACAATCCTGACGTACACCCCGAACTAGTCTCTAAAACCAACTGAACTGAATCCATCGACGCAAGGCTTGCCACTGTCGTGCTCCAAAGTTGAAAATATTTCCCAAATGGTCGTGACGCCAAATCGAGGGACAGACTTATTTTGTCATGGTAGTCAGTTTGCAATGACAATAAAATTATAATATGCTCCTTTTTTGTAAGTTTAATAACTATTGATGACATAAAAATATGGCTTTATATATTTCGGCATGAATGATTAGTCTAAAAACAGTGTGAAAGTTGGAAAATGTACCCTTAGGGACACGTCATGGTCGTGAATTTCGATACTTTAAAAATACGAAAAAATACCTAGAACCTATTTAAAACCAAACAAATGTGTGTAACATGTTGCCCCCGTCCCAAAAAATATTAAAACACATAATAATAAACTACAAATCCAGTATCTACGAAGTAAAAGGCCAGGGACATGAAAACGTACGGTTTTTTTTAAATTTTCACTCTCTTGCGAGATCGTCGAGTTTTACAAACACACAAAAACACTAACATTTAAATAAATAAACACGAGACATTGACAGACGAGCACGATTATAATCGTGATAATCGTCTTCGTCTGCCAATGTCTCGTGTTTATTTATTTAATTGTTATAGCCTTATTATGCGCGGCCACTCGAGTCGCGCGCGACCGCGACTGCTCAAAGGTCACTTTTAGCGGGCCATGTTATCATATGGAGCTTATTAAGCGACGCGACTGCGGTGGCGAGGCACGCGACTGTCGCGTCACCAGCAGGCCATGTTATCATGCTGTTTATTACGCGCAGCCACAGTCGCGGGCCACAGCGGACCCTACTCTATACCCTCGCCTCAGCCCTTATTTTTGTTTCAGCATTTGATTATAAAAATTATATTATCTAATAAATATTGGTTTTCTTTTCCGAGCCGGCTCGGCTCTTCTACCTGACCGATTTTCATAATATTCGTCTTAAATTAAAGGTATTCACGAACAGATTGGCCACCGCAAGCATCATCATTCATGTATCGTATTACTCGACCAAAAAAAATAATCCGAATTTTTTCAATTAAAGCCTATTTTGCCAGTTCTGATTACGTTATCCTATATGTTTTGCTCTAAGAACATTCAGTAAAATGCCAGCTTTAATTTTGAGCTATTAATTATTAAGATCGGACGTACGTGAAGCACGCTACTGAATCACGAATCAACAATAATAATTATTACTAAGGGAAACCCGTCGAAATCGACGGTTACTTTCAAGGCTTACGTTAATTCATCTAACTGCGATGAATTGGATGAAATATACATATTCTGAGCATTTAACATTGTTCAAAGAGTAATAAGTGTAAAAAATAACAATTTTGCGTTAGTTGCCAAATTTGGTTGTTCATTCAATGATTAAAATATTTCCTATCCTGTACGTCATCGGAGTTATTATTAGTATGTTATATGGTATCTCTTCCTTTGGTAGAACCTTTAAATAGTATTTAAATCGTATTGGTGGATCTTGTAGTTAAACACTTACGCGACTTCATCAGTGTTTGAGAAAAAATATATGTTTGTTGAGAAGACACGTTCTAACTTCAAAGGGAGGTATATCCGTTACAGTGTAAGTTTGATTTTCCTTCGTCACGTCGGAGTATGTTTTATCTATGGCATTAGTCATGATTTGAAATAGTGCCACAGTGTTTCTACAGAGTGCAGCACAGAAAACTATTTTACTTTTTAATAAGTCCAAATGTATTAAACCTCAATCGCAGCACACCTGTGCACTCAACAACGTTTAAATTCTCCAATGTTAAATATTAAAACATAAAAACCTTTATCAAAGAAACAATAAAAGGGATGACTTTTTTTAAATTTATGACAACAGCTAATTTGCAACCAAAAGGTGAGTGAGCGTAGCGAACGAACATCAACCTGGAGGCGAGTAAGCGTAGCGAAAGAGCTAACCTGAAAACAAGTGAGCGCAGCGAATGATTTCCAACCTGAAGGTGAGTGAGCGTAGTGAACGAACTTCAACCAGGACGTGATTGAGCCATGCGAATACTTATGAAGTTAAGCGGGGCAAAGCCCGCGGGTACAGCTAGTTATATATAAGGATTTTAACACTTATCTGCAATCAATGATACGTAACTCCATTTGTACATGTCTTAGTTTTAAAACAGGACTACCCCTCAAAACAAAGGCTCTTTTATTTGAGATGTTGACCTTTTGAATCATATTGTGAATACTATGTTGACCCGGGCAACGCCGAGTTTTGCTGCTAATATTGTATTAATATTATGATTAAATCAAGTCAAATCCATTATAATATTTAATTTAAGGTAAGTACTTGCCTCTCCTTAGCTGATATAAAATTATTCATTTTATTATGCGATACGGATAAGTCGCCTTATATTCTTCCTAAAAGGTTAAAAAAAAGAACGTCTCGTCTCCCAGAAACAACCAAAATACATCTTGTCGTCATCTCTGAAATCATCATATAAACACTGAAAAATACCCCTGAGGTCTTACTTTTAGTAAGGGATTGCCTCCCAATACTTTTGTTTCGTCTACGTTTACGACGCTTAAGTAAAAGTAAAATAAATAGTTCAGCTTCTTTACTTATTCACTCTGAGAAACTACATGTAATGTATGTCTGTAAAAAATTCAGTCAGTCGCGTGGCCTCGCCACACCTGTCGCTACCCCAAGCCACACCTGTGGCTACCCTAAGCGACTGGCAGTCGCGGTCGCGCGCTACTCGAGTGGCCGCGCATAATAAGGCTCGTTTTTGTGTGTTTGTAAAACTCGACGATCTCGCAAGAGTGACAACAAGAGCCTGAAGATGAGGTTATAACCTTGAAACCGGTTGCTCTATACAACAAATGTAGGATCACAGACGGAAACAGGTAATATTATACCATTTTAACTTAGAAATTACTGGTAAAAGACTTGGTCGGTATGAACTTACCTGGCCAAGAGGCTTCCCAGGTTTCGGAATGACTATCGATTGTGCTCGTTTGAAATGATCTGGTACATATTCAAGTTTTAACATTGTGTTAAATAAAATAGTCAAAAACATTATTCCTTTTCGTGGAAGCTCTTTTAAGTATTTTACCAGTTATGAGGTCGTAACCAGGAGCCTTGTCAGAATGAAGATTGTTGATGATGATTGATTTTAGTTCTGATGGTTTGAACTTCTGCAATGGGAAGTCAAGTTGAAGCGGAGCATCCGAATATTCAAGCTCTAAAAATGACAAAAAAAAATTGTAAGTTAATTCACCAAAACAAAAACAAATATTAAATTTGATGACAGATGATTAATTTCTTTTTAGTATTTTCTAAAGACAGTGTACAGTCAATTACATTACTCTTATAAAATTCAAAATCTATAAGTAGTATACAAGAGGATGTTTGTATATATATATATATATATATATATATATATATATACTAGCTGACCCGGCGAACTTCGTATCGCCTAGTTATAGGTTTCCCCTAAGACAGACCGATGGAAAGAAAGTACCGTTACGTTTAATTTTCAAGATGATCTCGTTCGCATCGCTCAATCACGTCCTGGTTGAAGTTCGTTCGCTACGCTCACTCACCTTTGGGTTGGAGCTCGTTCGCTGCGCTCACTTGCCTATAGGTTGGAGCTCGTTCGCTACGCTAACTCGCCTCCAGATTAGCTCGTTCGCTACGCTCACTCGCCTCCAGGTTGAAGTTCGTTCGCTACGCTCACTCACCTTTTGGTTGCAAATTAGCTGTTGTCATAAATGTAAAAGAAATAATAGTGCTGCACCCTGTTGGTAATCCTTGTAACTTTAATGCTATTGAACATCATAGAACAGAACCAACTTGTTTAATTGAAACAGCTGTTAAGATTCATTAATTCCATTTCTCATAAGGTTAACATGGGAAACTCCAGAGCCACTGGGGCGGAGCCCTTTTAAGAATTTCGAAACGGGAAATAGTTTACGTCCGATTCGCATAGCTACAGAATTTACACACCAAATTTCATAACGATCGGTGAAGTCGTTCCGGAGGAGTTTGCAGACAAAACACTGTGACACGAGAATTTTATATATTAGATATATTTGTTTGGCAGTGATAAACTCAGACACCGCTGAACCGATTGCCACGAAACTTGGTACATACGTGTAGAATTTCATGGAATAGGTTTATAAACCATCAATTTCGTGATCCGTCCAATCGGCTCCACCCCCCAGTGGCTCTGGAGCTTCCCATGTTAACCTTATGAAAAATGGAATTAATGAATCTTAACAGCTGTTTCAATTAAACAAGTTGGTTCTGTTCTATGATGTTCAATAGCATTAAAGTTACAAGGATTACCAACAGGGTGCAGCACTATTATTTCTTTTACATTTTATGACAACAGCTAATTTGCAACCAAAAGGTGAGTGAGCGTAGCGAACGAACTTCAACCTGGAGGCGAGTTAGCGTAGCGAACGAGCTAACCTGAAGGCAAGTGAGCGCAGCGAACGAGCTCCAACCTAAAGGTGAGTGAGCGTAGCGAACGAACTTCAAACAGGACGTGATTGAGCCATGCGAACGAGATCTTCTTGAAAATTAAGAAGTTAAACGGGGCAAAGCCCGCGGGTTACAGCTAGTATTTTATACAGTTCAACGTTATTAAAGCGTCGCAATTCTTGAGGCGCTGTTCGTGTGATGAGTCCTTCATTCTTTCGCACTTCTCTCTGCTCTGCCTATCTCCTCCTGCTGTTCTCTACTCTAATCTCTATTCATAACTTTCACGCTACGCTACGCTTTCATTTTGGGTCTTGACTTGGGACATAACCCTGTCATAGTGTTTTATTATTGTGGCGAATCTTTAATTTCAAATTGATTTAATAATAATATTTCAGTGATTTGTTATACTCAGAATTTCAACTAGTGCTATTTTTATTTAAAATTTAATCGAGCATGTGATTTTGGATTTATATATTAATTTTGAGTTGTGTTAGGCCTAAATGGAAATTTAGTAGCAGACGTGGATAATGGCTGGAGTTTTTGATATTGAATTACATGATGCTGACACTGTAAATAATCGAGACGACTCGGATGACGACGCAATTGAAATAGAAGAGGTACCTGATATTTCTTACTTTATACTTTTTAGGTTCCATGTGGTCTCTTGACATGAATTCTCTAATTGTTTTGTCGTTTTCTGTCTAGACCACCTTGTAGGCCTAGGCCTAGGCTTCTTCACTTAACAAATTGTTAGGGAGTATGTTGAATAAATATTTTGGTTCCATTTTCTAGGTCAGATTATTCATTTCATTTATTCATATCAACGGGTAGTAGATCAATTGTAGTAGATTAGTAAGCAAACATTTAATTTTAATGTAAGGCTAGGCTTTAAGTTAGGCCTTAGATATTTAAGTCAGAAGTGAAGGTTGGTCCGAGTAAAAATTTTAGTAGGCCTAGCCTAAGTTACAAAATTAGTTAACTTTCTTCTTTAGAAGTTGATACCGGGTCTTGAGGGTCACAGGATTTAGGCCTATTCCAATTTTTAACTTAGGTCCAGGCCTAATCCTTCATTGGGGTCTTGGATTTTATTTCAGTGGCACAAGGAGTTTTTTTCAGGGGTAATTATTTACTGTAGGCCTACCTACAGTGGGATATGATGTAATTTTTAGATGTCTAACCTAAGTTATTTTTCACGCAGAATCCAAAAATTCAATCAGTTTTTGTCGGAGAGATTTCTCCCATAAGTTAGGCCTACAGTTAAATAATTGATATCAAGCTTAACTTAAGTTTTGTTGAGTTATTCACTTATTTGTGGTTTGGACGAGTCCAAGTTCTACTTAGTAGCGACTGACACGGAAAGGGGAGGAAGGTTTGTGGAGTGGAAACAGCTGTCAGTTGTTTACATTCGATACTAAACATACAAAACAACACACGACGACAACATGAAAACAAAACCAAAATTGCAATATGCAATTAATTAGATTTTAAAAAGCAATATAGACTTTGGTGCCGTTTAGAAAATACAGTAGGCTAAATCAACTAGGTTACGATACATAAACTAGGGTATTTAGAAGGGAAATTGGGTATTAGGGGTAATTGGGTATGAACTTTTTTGAAATTTATTTTAAAATAGGGTACCCTACATGATTTATACTAGAAAGAATTAAAAAATCTGTAGTGACTAGCAACAGAGCCCGTTGTAGTTAATAAATACAACGGTCCCTAGAAAGTACAGTAGTACATAATATATGCCCTTGTAAGTTCCTGAACATTTTTTAAAGAATGAACTTGTTTAGAAAATAAACTGATTTTCTAAAAGAGTAAAATAATGAAAAACAAATACAATTTTACAAAAATATTTTATTTACAGTATTTCTTTGTAAACAACATTCTTTGTAAAGACTTCATCTGATTGTTTTAATAATCTTCCTTGTTCTTTGCCAGGGATAATTTTAATTTTTATGACTTCAAACCGTTTAACCCTTGATATTGCAACATACAATTAATTGTCCATGGCTGAATACTGTTGCTGGAAGGTATATCCCAACTTTATCCAATGTCTGGCCTTGCGCTATGTTTATTGTAATAGCAAACGCTAATTTTAAAGGAAATTGCCGTCTTTTTAAAACAAATGGTAAATCTGTGTCCGTCTGTGCTAAGTCAATCCTTGGAATGAATACAATTCATAGTATAATAACTAGGTTGGTATAGCAGTGAGTATTTTTGTCATACTTGAATACTTTTAATACTTGAGCGCATTATTTAATTGGGCTTGAGTTCTTTAACAATTAATCGTGTGCCATTACATAACCCCCATTTTGTGTTAAGATTTCGTAGCAACATTATTACAGCTTCAATTTTTAAATTTAATTTGTGTATTGGCATTCCCAATACACAAATTAAGGAGGTTGAGGAAGTTGCATCATCTCTGAGTGAAGTGTTGGTCAGACTATCTTGTTATGTTTCTTTTTCATTTTCTGGTTCTCCATCCTTTTGATTGCTTGATAAACACTTTTTTACCCCTTGGAGTAAATCTTTATCTATTCTATAATTTGGTTTCTTCAATTTATTTGTATGAGCTGTTGATTCACGTCTGCCAGAACATGTTTTACTTTTTCTATATTTTTGATGCACGGCTACGTTTTGATTTTGGTAAGATTATATCCTCTTGATGCCCAGCATCCACATTTCCTGAGAATCGTAGTTTATAGATCGTTGTGCCTTCACCAACCGTTACAAAATAATCCAATTTCTGAGCATATATTTTGAATTGGCAGTCAAAAACTCTTGCTGCAGCTTCGATTTCGACATTACCGGCGTATTCCCCATCTTTGGTCATCAAATTTCTGTATTCCGTAGCGTTTTTTACTTCTAGTCTATATGTCTTATCCCCTACGATCAAAGGACAATAGTAGTCCCAGTTATTGACGACTTCATCAACTACCGTGGATCGTATATCACTGTATCTGGATTGAGATTTATGGCATAAAAATGAGACACTTCTAAAGAAACAGTTTCCATCACCAACCATGTAGTGAAGAGTAAAGTTATTCATTTTTAAACTAATGTAAAATATTGAGTTTATAATTAACATTTCAAAATAACGAATATTAAATACTATTTTAAACTGTAAATTAAAAATTAAATTTGAATAATTTATAATTGACAGTTTAAAATAATAATTTTTGGTTATGAAATCCATACATTTCTTAACTTACCAATACTTATTAATGGTACAGATTAAAAACATCACTTTAGAAACACACTTTACGGACCTCAACCACCAATTCAAATAGTAAACAACTAAATGTAAACAAAGAAAAATCAAGGAAATAACAATAAAACAATCAGCTGTTAAACTATAGGTTAATACATGTGTTCCATATGATCAGATGATGCATACTGGCTATCCCATTATTACTACCATAATCTTTTTTAGATTATTCATACCAGCAAACGTATTACTACCATAAATAAATAACTCAAACTTTACTAATTATTTGGAAATCTACACAGATTTTATTGACCTATTATTAATAAAATCGGTCCAGTAGAACTGTAGATTTAGTTGTAGAAATTTAACAAAAATCTCTCCAATTCAATATTCTCTCACCACAATAAATTAGGAGGTTGCTAAGCTCTTTTGCAAATAACTCTTAAACGGTGAGGAAATCGACCAAAGTGGAAGGTGATATTCTGAAAGAGAATAAAATTTGCTACAAAGTACTCTTAGGCGTTTTTTGAAAATATTCAAAAAAGGCAACCTAAAGTTAACTATAAATTGAAATTTTAAAATATTAACTATAAAAAAAATCAGTTTTTAGTGTATTTTTGCTTTTTATTCTTTATTCACCACAAATATTTAATAAAATCAAACTTTCATAATTATTTGCAAATCTACACAAATTAGGCTTTCAAACGATACATTAGTTAACAAAATCGGTCCAGTAGAAGTCTAGATTTAGTTGTACAAAGTTTAACAAAAATATCCCTAATTCAGTATTTTTAACAACTAAAAATTTGGAGGTCACTTATCTAATTTGACAATAACTTTTAAATGGTGAGTAAATCGTAGAAAATGCACGTGATATTCTGAAAGAAGATAAAATTTCCTACAAATACCTTGTGTGTATTTCTTGAAATTATTTAATAAAGGCAGCCAAAAGCTGACTACAAATATAAACTTGAAAATAAAAACCTGAAAAAACAGTTTTTAATGTATTTTTGTTATTTTTATTTTTCTACCACAAATATTAAATAAAACCAAACTTTCATAATTATTTGCAAATCTACATGAGTAAGGCTTTCCAATGACTCATTAATTAACAAAATCAGTCCGGTAGAAGTCTAGATTTAGTTGTACAAAGTTTAACAAAAATATCCCAAACTCAATATTTTCTCATTATTATAAATTCGGAGGTTGCTTAGCTTTTTTGCAAATAACTTTTAAATGGTGAGGAAATCGACCAAAGTGGAAGGTGATATTCTGAAAGAGAATAAAATTTCCTACAAATTGATACCATACACTTCTTGGAAACACTAAAAAAAGGCAGCTAAAAGTCGCACCCAAATAAAAAGTGTGAAAAACACCGTTTTCAATGTATTTCTTATGGAAAACATGTTTTTTTTAAATTTTTCACCATAAATCATAATAAAAATAAACTTTCATAATTATTTGCAAATCTACACGACCTAAGCTTTCCAACGACCCATTAATTAATAAAATCGGTCCAGTAGAACTCTAGATTTAGTTGTACAAAGATTTTTAAAACTGAATTATATATAGAATAGATAGCTAGTTATGTTTTATAAACCTCAAATTTATTTTAGGTTGTTATCTTTGAAATTAAAACAAGTTAAAAAGTAAGGTATTTATTCCGTATAGGTGCCTCCAAACGAATTTTGACATCTTACTTTATAGTTTTTTACCTCCTGAATACAAATATACCATTATTTTTCACCGCTGATGAATATTTCTCAAGATATCACCGTAAAAACATACAACAATTAGCCTACAATAAACAAGGTAGGATGGATAACATTTCAAGTGATTCCGTAGTCAATAATGTTTTCTATAATAGGAATTTCGTCACATTATGGAGATCTAAAGTTGTGGACAGGGTAACTCCGGACCAGGAAAAGGAGACCTACCTGCCTCGGCTATTGTAGAGTCGCCCGACCAACCGACCCTAATTAATGTCGCTTGGCTGCGCTCAACGAAAACAACAACTAGATACCCAATACCATAAACTTAAGTTAATTTATTTACAAAAATTATTAATATTGATTATCATATAATGTTTTTTTTTTAAATGTCGATCATTTTGAAACTAAATTTTATGTAAATCGGCCAATTTTGACCATTTGTGCCGCCAAACTAGTTTTTCTTTTAAAAACTAATTTTTAACAAACAATGAAAATTGAATATAATTTACATCAAAGCGTGAGCAAATGGAGGAATAACAAAATGCGTATGTATGAATGTATTAACATTTTATTATATCATAACCAAAATAAATAGATCGTTTGAATACAAATCTGAAAACATAATTTTAATCAGTAACTTAATTAACTGTACAATATTTCTACTGGTTCTAAATTTAAAAAAATGCAAAGG